GAAAACGACTAAAGAGAGATTTTTGCTAAAGCCGTGTCAGCAAAAACGGAAATTAAAAAAGAATCGCCCTTCATCTCTTGTATAGAGCTAACAGTACAGCAGGGAAATCCCTTAACACACTGAACATTCTCTCAGGATCATTTATAATTTACAGTTTGAAGAGAGCAATTTCTGGTTTGATATTTATTCTTTTGTGACTTGACGTGATACAACTCACTTTGACTCTGAAGATGACTACCGCACAGGTTGTCGAAACGTCAGTCACTGTCAACAACAACAGTCCTATTCAGGACTACGTTCACCCGGACGATCAAACTCAACCTACATTTATTCTTTTATTAGTCTTTTATTATTCAACAAAAATAACACTTGGCGTCCTACTTGCTTTATTATACAAACGACCGGTTTCAATAGACCGGCGAAATTTCTCATTTTATTAAAGCACTGAGGTCACGACAACTTCGAGTTAAACTGATTTCATGGGTTGTCAAAGAGTCTAGCGATCGATTCCCTTTTCCCAGGTGAGCGCCGACTCATTTCGCTTCAATATTCAGAAATGCTCTCGATCTCTTTACGCTTCCATTGCCTTTCGCCCGACATGTTTTGCACGGCGTTTAGTCATGCGGAACCTCCACGAAATATCCCCGCAGCGCGCGAGGTAACTTTATCCCGATTCTAAAAATAACTCCAGACGAATTACCTATGGAACAGGGTGTGTATGGGGGATGCCTTCTCTGTCCCCTTTATCCTCTCTTGGTGAAATATAATCTCGTTTCTTCTCAATTATTATTCATTCAAAATATTTCACCGTTTCTGATTGTCTCCAGTCCCGCGGCTAAATCTTCATAACCAGCATGCGGTTAGCATGAAGATGTAGGCGATATCTAATCGATGGCATTATCGTCCTCGATCTGCACAATTGTTCACATCATACTCAGCCTCATTCAATAATTGTTAAATTATATACATGTATGAACTAATTGTAACTTAATAAGCAACCTCGTCCCCAGGGCTTTTCCCTCAAAAAATGGGTGGAGCGGGAAAAGGCCCTGGCATCGGCTGGTCACGTGTACAGCCTAAATATTCCTGAGAAGCTAATTTATATGCATATTTATATTTATATAAATCCAAGTTCTTAGCTGAATGATTTTGAAAGCGTTAACCTTGAAAAAGTTTGAATTTGACAAAGGTAGTTGTCTGTTTCAGCCAATCAGTTGAATGAACTAAAAACGCGCGCGGTCAAAATTTGTTGTTGTAGTTATGTTTTTCGTGTATATTATTAATAAGTAATCACATGATTTTTCTCGTGCAATTTGGAATAAATAAGCACTTAATTTGTAAATTTGTCGAAGACCACAACGTTGAAAAATTTACTCGTGCTTATTTATTCCAAATTGCTCTCGAAATCATGTGAGGGGTCCCACAGGGTTCTATTTTAGGACCTAAATTATTTAACATATACATGAATGACCCGGCATACGCAATTAAACGATGTAGAATTGTTAACTGTGTAGATGATACAAACATCCATTGTTCCAACAAAGATGTTCGTGCTGTCCAAAACAACCTTAGCATCGATCTTGAGAATGCTACTTCATGGTTTATTCAAAATGGCACGAAACCTAACCCAGATAAATATCAGGCTATGGTACTTGGCAAAACGGAAGACAAATTGAACTTTAAATTAGATGATATTGACATTAAACCTCAGAAAAGACTTGTCTTCTGGGGGTTGTCCTTGATAACGAGTTAAAACTTGGCGATCATAGTTCAAGTATTTGTCGCAAAGTAAGCGCTCAGATAAGTGTTCTGAACAGATTTAAGAACATTTTGCCACTTAAAACAAAGGAATCGCTTTATCGCGCGTTTATACTGCCGTATTTTAACTATTGTAACCAAGTCTGGCACCACTGCAGAAAAAGAAACACCGCTAAAATCGAGAAAGTCAACGAAACGGCTCTGAGGTACATCTTCAAAGGTAAAAGTGCATCTTATCAAGATCTCTTGGAAAGAATAAGACTCCTATCCATGCAAACTCGAAGAATCCAAGACATGCTGACAATAAACAATAGTATATCGGACAAAGTTCCACCCGCAATTAGAGATCTTATCACCTTACGCTCATCCAAGTATAATATTAGACATGATTATATCCTTTCATTGCCTAAAGTTAACACGACTAAATACGGTCTCAAATCTTGGAGATATTTTGCCGCTGAGAAATGGAACGAGCTAGCAAATGACATCAGAATTAAAGCAGGCACCAATGAAGTGAAGAACAAAATTCAATTGCTTAAGCTTGACTGAAATTAGGATTTATCGTAACTGCTGCCTGTTTCTTTGTTGTTTTAATCGATTCTTATATAGCTTTTACAGTTTTCATATGATGAATTATTGTATATTTTTAGTTTTTAATTTTAAATTTTTAGAATGTAATTTTTTTTTTTAATTTCAAATTTTTATAATTTTTTTATATTGAGTGCATTTGGCCTGCGAGCAAGCTTTCCATTTGGTGGATATCCTGAGAAGTAGACGCACGAGAGGAGCCGCGAACGCGGGGGGCGGGGAAGAGAAAGGAGACCTTGCAACGATCACTCATACATTTTCATTTCCACCCCGGAAAGCCCGGGACACTGCAAAGCGTAAAAACTGTCACCGCAAACGTGCCGCAAATTAGAAAAGTGACAACTGCCTGTCAAGTTTAGAAAGCCGAGGGCGCGTAGAATCTATTTATTCATTAAATCGCTTTCGCAACAGCTTTCCACTGCATCAAAGCTAATGTTTTTGACCACTGATATTATTGTTTTTTTAGCCACAGGACATCGAACTTCAACGTGTCCGCTCAAATAAGAACTCAATACTTTGATTCTCGTTTCTTTTTCATTTGAAAAGACTAATCTCCCTGTCGCACTCAACAACATTACATATTTGTCCGTTCCGGAACTGGAGAACAGCGTTTTCCTGGACTTGATTCTCTTACGTTTTACTCCAGTTGCTTCCTACTCTTTCTATTAGTCAGGTCTCTTAGTGAAAAATATAGGCCGGATCGTTACAGACGTGGTAAAAGTGTCAAATTTGGCACAGAGCTTCCATAGCACCTGCCGATTAATTCTGGAGGGGGTGCCCGTTACAAACGGTCCTAATCACAGATAAAAGGGGGGGTTAACTTTCACCTGTAATGGCAGATTGGGTTCCTTGTGGTGAGAACTTTTCTTGTTTGATTTGGCTAAAAAAACATTTGTTTCAAATTGTTAAGTTTTTAATTTGGTAATGTTTAGTTGTTGTTACACTATTCAAAATAGTTTTACATGTACATAATACTGACTAGTGCCCAGTCTCCACACGGTAAGTTTGGCCATGTTCACTGTGCGGCTATCAGTGTCACTGCTATTAAAACTTGCCAGTGATAATATCATTACATATCAATTTAAACAGATCACAAAGCCAGCTATCAAAGATGTCATACCATAACATTAAAATGTGTCACATCCTAAACGACAGAATCGTTAAATTTTGACATGCCTCATAAACGACCTAATAAACCGTAACTGACAACTCGCCCACTTTGTAATATGGTGCAGCTAAGATTACATTATAATTTGCTTCGTTGGTAAACCTGTCCTTGAGATAATGATTAAAACATGTCAACGTCATCCTCAGGGGGAAAAGGAGGAGCAAGAGTGGCACAGTTGGTTAGTGCGCAGCCCTCGGTGCGCGAGGTCCCGAGTTCGATCCCTGGTGTCAACCCATCCTTATTTCAACTTCTCTCCTTTCTGTGTAGCTTTGACTAGCTTTAAATACCCTTAAAACGGAGCATTAACGGAGAGAGAGGGGTAAAAGGAGCGCACCGTCGAGGTCAAGTTTATAAGTTATTATTACTGTCACGAGTTATTGACGTAAAATATGGTCGCTTTACCTTTTTATTAAGCCCTAGGGACGAGGTTGTAAAACATGCCTCCCCAGGAATTTTTAACACTCTTAATTTTTTAAACATTTGCATTTAAAAAGCACTCTATGAGGTCCCTGCGTCCCTAGATACCTGTAAGGAGCTCTTTCACTTCAGAGCCCTCGCACCAGAGTGTTGATGGTAGGTCTATACGATCTTTCAAAAAAGGGAAGGTTGTCGAGTGTGTTACAATTTACAAACAAACTAACATCAGAAGAGCTGAAAGTTTTCAGGAACAAGTCCTCTTTTAGCCAACCATTGATGCATCATTTATGAAAATGAATGTAATTTGTTTGATGCAACTAGGCGAATACCCCGTGGTTACGAATTCTTACGATCATGAATTCCTCAAGAGCAATTCAGTTACCAACGTTTCACAAAATAATGTTGTGGAAAATTACCGAAAATACCAAAAAAGCAATTGTCAATAATAATTATGGCCTGATCCCTTATAATAATGGAGTGGTCATGAGCCATCAGCCCCAACTTTGACCACTCAAACTGATTTCTGACAGATTACATACCGCAAAACTTTGCATTCACTTATGCCTATGTTGCCACACCAGGAGCCTAGAAATCGGCTCCTAGTCACACCTTGTTTTTATTGCTGAATATCATTCTAAAGAGCTTTACGAAATATTTTGTTAGTAGGGGCATTTTGAACATGATTGAAATTTAGATGGTGACAAAAACGAACACAAAAAAGTCTCAAACGAGACGCATGAAACAACCGCAATCTAATATTCGTGTTACACCGATATAATGGCTCCTTTGGCTGTTATGCTGACGGTTTTGAAGATGAAAGTAGTATCACAGCTAGTCCAGGGTTAGGTATACCGTTTATTACCAGTTTCATGGTTCCTGAGACTTAGGGCCTGTTAACATAAAGGTGGGGCACCCCAGGTAGGTGAGGTAACCTGCTTAGGCGGGGTAAAAAAATAACCCTCCTTTACATGCAATCTTACAATTCCGCCATCTTGGGGCGCACTTTCTCAAGATTATTGAATGGTCGCTAAGCACGTAAACAAGAAAAATGCTGGCAAACCACGTCTAC